GTGTTGAAGGCTGAGCTTGGGGTTTTCACATGCTAAGCATATGCACCAGCCCTTTAAGTCACCTTTCCAGCCCCCAAACCATCCTCTTTCAGGACTTTAAGTATATCATTCCATAACCATCTTGCAAGGGTATTTTTTTCTGATAAGTTTATAGATCATTTTTCTTTTTAGTTATGGTGCCACACCAAGCAGTGTTTTGGACTTACTCCTGGCTCTCAGCTCAAGAATCCTGGTGGAACTCAAAGGGATAGTATGGGGCGCCAAGGATTGAATTCAGGCCAGCTGCATGCAAGGCAAATGTCCTACCTACACTCCAGCCTCTACAGATAATCTATTTTTTTTTGAGCCTTTGGTGCAGCTGTAGTGGTAGGGATGGGTGCTGCTACCAGAGTCTTGGTCTGGCAGGTATTAGGCCCGCCTGCTTCCTGTGGGCATTCCCAGGTTTTCAGCAGTGAGGGCCAGCAAATTCCATAAGGTCTAGCCACTTGGCCTACATCTCCTGGGAGATTTAGTCGAGGGCTGGTGGAGCAGGGCCAGTGAGTGGACATGGCAGCAGAGCCAGGTGGTGGGCCCCTATAGATAATCTTACAGAGATCCCCTCTTACCTGACTTTCCTCGGAATGCTTTCATGCTTCTTGCTTAAAGTGCTAGAGACTGCTTGGAAAAGAGAGTAGGGGTATTGATGTAACAGTCCTCCTATACATGAGATTTAGAGAAGCCAGGGGCCAAGGTCCATCTAAGTGAAATATCCAGCAAAGTTCAGTCCATAGAGACAAAAAAAAAAAAAGCAGTTGGAACGCTGCCCAGCCCGTGTGCCTCCTGCACCCGCATCTCCATTCCTGACATCTAATGCTGGGTCCGTGCAGGGGCTCTCTCTGCCCTTGGAGACGCCCGGGTTCTCTCTCACTTTCTCTCCCTCTTTTCCCTTCCTTAAAATCTCCAAATAAAATTCACTTTACTTCAAAAAAACAAAAAAACAGTTGGTGGACCAAGAGATGAAAGGGGAGATAACAGATGAAATGTTTTATTTAATTTAAATTTTTTTTAAAAACTTTTTTATTGAATCACTGGGCAGGAGCGATAGCATAGCGGTAGGGCATTTGCCTTGTGCGCAGCCGGTCAAGCCAAGCCGGGTTCGATTCCTCCGCCCCTCTCGGAGAGCCCAGCAAGCTACTGAGAGTATCTCGCCTGCAGGGCAGAGCCTGGCAAGCTACCTGTGATGTATTCAATATGCCAAACACAGTAACAAGTCCCACTCAAGCAAATCGATGAATAACGGGAGGGACCGTGACCATGATTGAATCTCTGTGAAATAGACTCTTACAAAGCTGATCATGATTGGATCTGTCATACCGTGAACACCCATCCCTCTACCAGTGTACATTTCCCAGCACCGGTGTCCCCAGGTTCCCTCCCATTATGTGCCCCCCATCTGCTTCTATAGTAGGCGCTTTTCTACTCTCTGTCTGTCTCTGTCTCTGTTTCTGTCTTTGTCTCTGTCTGTCTGTCTGTCTGTCTCCCCTCTTTTGGGCATTTTGGTTTACAATACTAATACTGAAAGGTTATTAGAAATATCCCTTACCATGTATGCTGAAAGTAGATAAAGAACCAAACGTGATAGTCTCTCCGTTATCTATATTGCAAATATAATGTCCCAAAATAGAGAGAAAGTATGGGGGAAATTGTCTGCCATAAAGGCAGGGGGAAGGTTGGAAAGTGGGGTGGGGGGATAATGCTAGGGACATTGGTGGTGGAGAATGTATACTCTTGGAGGGATGGGTATTCCATCACTGTATGACTGAAACTCAAACATGAAAGCTTTGTAACTGTATCTCACAGTGATTCAATAAAAAAAAAATTCCCTTACCTACTTTTAAACTTCAGATCTTGTCCAACATGATCATTCCCAACTATTATTGTCATACTGGTCTCTTCTCTATCTTACCTACCTTCAGCCCCACACACACTTGTGGTTAGTTCGAACCCTTGACCAGTCCTCCTAACCCCCATGGATAAAGAAACTATGACACATCTACACAATGGAATATTTTGCAGATGTGAGGGAAAATGAAGTCATGAAATTTGCCTATAAATGGATGGACATGGAGAATATCATGCAGAGTGAAATGAGTCAGGGACAGATATAGAATAACTGCATTCGTTTGTGGTATATAAAAATATGTATAGTAGAAGAATATTTAATTTTTTAAATTTTTTTAGTTTTGACTTTTGGGGTCATACCTGGTGATGCTCAGGGGTTACTCCTGACTTTGCACTTAGGAATTACTCCTGGAAGTGCTCAGGAGACCATATGTGGGATGCAGGGGATCGAATCTGGCTTGTCCACATGCAAGCCAAACACCCTATCCACTGTACCATCACTCTCACCCCCAAATGAAATGTTCTAAAACCAAAGAGAAGTGATTGCATAATACTGAAAATGTACCAAACTGTTCACTTTGAAATGACTGTATTATGTACATTCCACCTCAATTAAATTTTGTTTGAGACACCAGCTGTGTCTCGGGGCTACTCCCAGACACAGTGTTCGGGTTCACTGCTGCCAGTGCTCAGGGGACCTTGTAGTTCTGGGACCAAGCTCAGGCCTCCTCCTGCATACGCGTGAGTGTACTGAACTAGCTCTCCAGTTCTCTTTTTGAATTTCAATTTCAATTTTTCCTTTGCTTTACAATAGTTTTGAGGGACCAGGGATGTGACTCCATAGTAGAACACTTGTCTGGCATGTGTGAAGCTTTGGTTTCAAGCTCTGGCACTGCAAAAATTAATCTAAAAAACATCTAAATTATATATATATTATATATATATATTTTTTTTCTTTTGGGGTCACACCCAGCGATGCACAGGGGTTACTCCTGACTCATGCACTCAGGAATTACTCCTGGTGGTGCTCAGGGGACCATATGGGATTCTGGGAATCGAACCAGGGTTGGCCACATGCAAGGCAAATGCCCTACCTGCTGTGCTTTCACTCCAGCCCTATACTTTTAAATATCTTTAATTTTTTTCTAATCTTTTTGTTCACTTGTTAAGCAAAAATTGTAGATATTTAAGGTGAACCAAATGATAACTTGATATTTTGTTGTGAAATATGGCTATGAAATGAGCATATCCATTGCCTCCCATAGTTACTCTTATATGTATGATGTGAGTACATTTAAGAGCTACAATTCACAAATTTCCAATATACCATCCAAATTTTTTAGCTGGAATCACCAGGCAGTATATTAAGAGCCTTCGAGATTTTTCATCTTATTGAATACTTGAACATAAAAAAGAAGAGGTGTGAAAAATAACTCCATAGGGGTGCTAAGATCTACATGATATCCTCACTTTCAAAACACCTGCAAGTCCGGAACCTTCTTTTGGAAAAAAGTGGGTTGCCTACCACCCTGACACTGTAGAAATAATGGAAAGTTGGTGTGTCTTCATTTTGCAGGTAGAAAAAACCCCTTGGGAGCTGGCCCTTTAAGGGTCTGGGGCTGAAGTAATGTGGTAGCTAAGAAGTCATAATAGCAACTTTTCTTGGGTAACCCTCTTTGGAAATGTAGTCCAGATCTCCCATAATCAGAAGATTGGAGGGGCAGAGCTATAGTCTGCTCTATTTGGCTGGTGGTACATGTATGTATTTGTATGTAAATAATCATCTCTGGCTTCCTTTTCTACATCTGTCCCGTAAAGAGGACTTATTGTATTCGTTTGGGGATTTTTCTGCCCCGTGGGGGGCAGAGTTTAGAGTTGTTTTTGAAATATGTTCAAAGTGTTGTCTTTATTTCTGAAACCTAGAAGGGGAAGGATGGAAGGAAGGGGCATTGTGATCCCAGAGCTCTAGATTCCATTGCTAATGTAAACGCCTTTGCCAAACGAAGTGCCTTGTATGGGGCCGGAGAGAAGAGTACAGTGGGTGGGGCTCTTGCCTTCCACACAGCTGACTCAGGTTTGATTCCTGGTACCATATATGGTTCCCTGAGCACCCTGAACAGTGTCCAAAAGTAAACCCTGGGGCTGAAGCTATAGTACAGCAGGTAGGGCATTTGCCTTGCACGCGGCAGACCCGGGTTCGATCCCCAGCATCCCATATGGTCCCCCGAGCATGCCAGGAGTAATTCCTGAGTGCAGAGCCAGGAGTAACCCCTGAGCACTGCCGGTCACTGTCACTGTCATCCCGTTGTTCATCAATTTTCTCGAGCGGGCCCAGTAACGCCTCCAGTGTGAGACTTTGTTGTTACTGTGGCTGGAGCGATAGCACAGCGGGCGGGGCGTTTGCCTTGCATGCAGCCAACATGGTCGACCTGAGTTTGAATCCTCCACCCCTCTCGGAGAGCCGGGCAAGCTACCAAGAGTATCGCGCCTGCACGGCAAAGCCGGCAAGCTACCCGTGACGTATTTGATATGCCGAGCACTGCCGGTGTGACCCAAAAAAAGCAAAGAAGTAAACCTGGAAACACTGCTGGGTGTGGCCCCCCAAATTAAACAACAACAGCAACCAAAAAAAAAAAAACCTTGTAGCCTTAAGGGAGGCACATTACTTTGGATTTTTGTATGTTTGTGGTTTTATTTTCTAATGAATTAGGTTACGGACAGGCCCTGTTCAAGAATTCCCCAATGGGGCTGGAGAGATAGTACAATAGGTAATGTATTTGCCTTGTATGCCGCCAACCCTGGTTCAATCCCTGGCATCCCATAAGGTCCCCTGAGCAGAGCCAGGAATAATTCCTGAGTGCAGAATCAGAAGTAAGCTTGGGCATCACTGGGTATGACTCCCCTCACCCCCCTAAAAAGAGAATCCCCCAAGACTGGTACTCAGAGAGAATTGGGTCAGCTCTCCAAGCTCAAAAGCTGTATAGTAAGCCCTGTTGAATCCCACCAGCACAGGGCCCAGTGACTTGGCGCTGAGCCTGTTCTGCAGAGATCCCTCTCCTGGGACAGGGAGACGAATGAATTGGTATCTGTCGTTGTTTGCAGGAGATGGTAACTTAGAAATGGAACTGCTGGAGAACCTCAAGTCCCTGGAGTTTGATCATGGGATTTCAGAGGAAGACCGCAGCTTTCTGTGTCTGCGGTACCGCAGCCGGGGCCTGATGATCAGCGGCTGCGCCCATGCCGTCTTCTTCTGCAAGCTCCTCTGCAATCTGAGGTGGGCAGGGTGGGGGGTTCAGAGAACCCAGGGACTTTGACTTCCTACTTGGGAGGGATCAATTTGGTGGGGGCAGGGAAGGATGTCTTTCTACCTTTTCCAAGTCATATGTGTGAAAGCATCAGGAGTAAAATCTCCCACCTCCCCTGACTGCGTATCTGTGGATTAAACAAGGATTTATTTTTTAGTGGGAGGATCCATCCTTTTACTGATTTACTCATTCATTACCATTGTGTCTACCACAGTTACTAATGACTAGCCACTCTTTTTCTGTTTGGGTCACACCTGGCGATGCTCAGGGGTTACTCCTGGCTCTGCACTCAGGAGTTACTCCTGACAGTGCTCAGGGGACCATATGGGATGCTGGGAATCGAACCCAGGTTGACTGCATGCAAGGCAAATGCCCTACCAGCTCTGCTATCACTTCAGCCCCTAACTACTCATTTCATAACTAATGGCTAAAATGGGGAGTGGATTTTAGGGGGTGGGACAGGGAAGAAGGACAGCTAGTCATGCTTAGGAGACAGTGTGGTTCCAGGGATCAAACCAGATGTTCCCCTATGCAACCATGTGCTACAGCCCATCCAGCCATCTCCCAGGGCCCTGGTTCTTTCTTTCTTGGGGGAGGGGTGAACATACAGTTTAACTCTACTTCATAGGAAAGCCATCTGAGATATTGAGGTCCCTAGAACCAGAAGACCTTCTTGAAACCAGGAATGCTGATTTTCAGAGGAAATGTTGTTCTAGGGCTGCCTTCTGACATCTTTGTGACTACAGAAACTTAAGTTGGAGGCGAGAGCCTGGGACTGATCTTCCGGGATTCGCCCTCTCAGCGTCTCCTGGAGCACTCACTCCCTCTCCCACTGGCATTTTTTAAAAATTTTAAATAGTCACCATGAAATTATAAAGCTATTCATGATTGGGCTTCAGGCATACAAGTGTTTCAACACCGATTCTTTCACCAGTGTCCACTTCCCTCCACCAATACCCCACCCCATTTGCTTCCCACCCTGTTTTTGCAAGAGGCACTATATATAATAATTTTTTTTGCAATGTGGTTTATAGTACTGCTGCTGATTGGGTTAGAAAGCATTTTATACTCTCATTCCTTTCTCTCTTTTTTTTTTTTTTTTTTGCTTTTTGGGTCACACCTGACATTGCACAGGGGTTATTCCTGGCTCATGCCCTCAGGAATTACTCCTGGTGATGCTCAGGGGACCATATGGGATGCTGGGAATCGTACCGGGGTTGGCCACGTGCAAGGCAAATAGCATACCTGCTATGCTATCGCTCCAGCCCCTCTCATTCCTTTCAGTTGAGAAAATGTGCTTGGGACAACTCAAAGGACTGAAGTTCATGTATGGCATGCACAGAGCACTGGGTACAAGCGCCAGCATCATTTGGGTCATTCTGACACTGCCAGGCACAGCTCTGGTGGCCCCCAGCACAGGCTCCAAAACAGAAACAAAAATGGTAGGCCAAATGGACAGTAGGTAGAACCCCACAGTGACGAGACACGCGGGGCCTCATAGGATGAGAGTGGAGCCAGTCCTTTCCACCCCTGCCTCAATGAGACCCTGAGTCGCTGCCCACAAACAATGCCTCTGGCTACTGATCAATCTGCTTAACGGCCATGATCCCAGAGACTCAGAAACAAATCTCGAACCCAGTGGCTTTTGGCAGAAATCCCTCCAGATTTAATTATTAAAACTTCAGAATTCCAATCAGCAATAGAAAACAAATTGTCTAATGTTGCCTTTTCAGCAGATCAGAGTGTTGGGGTAAAATCCTAAATAAAATAATGGTGAGTCTGGTGTCGAAATATTGAAAGTAATCAAAGTAGAGAGAGAGTACTGTGGAAATCATCTGCCACCACACAGGTAGGGGGAAGGGTGTGGGATGGGCGGTATACTGGAGTTTTTGGTGATGGAAAATGTGCACTGGTGAAGGGATCGGTGTTTCATCATTGTATGACCAAGACTTAAACCCTAAAGTTTTGTAACTGCTCTCATGGTGATTCAATAAATAAATTTATTTTTTAAAAAATGGTGGGCCGGGGGCTGGAGCAATAGCACAGCGGGTAGGGCATTTGCCTTGTACGCAGCCAACATGATCGACACAGGTTCGATTCCCAGCACCCCATATGGTCCCCTGAGCACCGCCAGGAGCAATTCCTGAGCGCATGAGCCAGGAGTAACCCCTGAGCATCGCCGGGTGTGACCCAAAAAGCAAAAAAAAAAAAAAAATGGTGGGCCAAAGAAATAATACCAGCACTTGCCTTTCATGGGTCTCACCCTGGTTTGACCTCTCATACCACATGGTCTCCCATCCAAGTACTGGAGCGATAGCACAGCGGGTAGGGCATTTGCCTTACAAGCGGCCAACATGACCTCTCATACCACATGATCTCCCATCCAAGTACTGGAGCGATAGCACAGCGGGTAGGGCGTTCGCCTTACACGCGGCCAACATGGCCGACCCGAGTTCGATTCCTCCGCCCCTCTCGGAGAGCCCGGCAAGCTACCGAGAGTATTCGATATGCCAGACACAGTAACAACAAAGTCTCCAATGGAGACGTTACTGGGCCCGCTCGAGCAAATCGACGATCAACGGGAGGGCCTTTACCTTTTACCTTTACCACATGGTCAGTCTCCTGAGCACCACCAGTCTCAGCCCTGGAGGTCTCAGCACTGCAGGGCCCCCATCAGGGCACATCTGCTGTTGTGGTTGGTTGAGAGTCACCAGAAAGGATCCCAGACTGCCTCAGTACCACTTGAGAGACACCTCCCCACAAAAAACAACAACAAATTTTTTTTATAATGTAAATCTGACAAAAGAAATAAATCCAACTGATTCCTAGCCAGGCAAAAATAAACAGGCTAGGATTGGTAAGGAAACATTCGTGCATGGTTTAGAAGCAGGAGGAGGGGAGTGAGGAGTAGGGAGAGAAATGTTTGAGCCTGTTTGCACACAGCCTGAGGTGAATGCCCTTGGGCTACGTCGTTCAGTCAGCCACTTCACTGGGGAACCAAGGTCCAGCTTCAAGGTGCTATTCTTTCAAGAAATTTCCTGGCCCCAGGGCTCACTGATTTCAGGGGTAAAGAAGTTGACCACAATTTACAGATGGGATCACTGAAGCTCAGCTAGCACAGCCACTAGTCCAGAGGCCACATGGCCGTATTTCCCCCTGGGCTCCCATCCTTCCTCTCCACAGCACACGTAGCACTTCATATATGAGGGCCTTGGCTGTGGCTGATAATCCATCATGGTCCATCAGAGCAGGAGAAACAAATGCTGATTGATTCTGCCCATCCCCTGGGTGTGTTGGTGTCTGAACGACATTACAGGGAGAAACTGTGGAGAACTACTCTGAGAAACAGAAAGGATTATCTCATGTATCTCAAGAGAAATAAAGGCACTTTGAAACCCCAGCCAAGGCAGCCATGGGGTTACTGACTTCCTGATAAGGAGAGGATGCTGGGAAACCAGTTCCAGCCAGCTACTGGTACATGCTCGGGACATCGTAGAACCCTGACCAGGTTCTCCTCCCCCCCCCCAAATTTTTTTAAATGGTGTGAGAACCCCAGAGTTCGTTTTTTTGTACCACACCCAGCTGTACTGAGGGCTTACTCCTGGCTCTGCACTCAGGGATCACACCCTGTGGGCTTGGGACCATAGGGGATGCCAGGTATGAAACTAGGGTCAGCTGCAGGCATGACAAGCACCCTATCGACTGTCCACCCTATCTTTCCAACCCCAAGAAACTTAGAGTCTTAAGACCCCAATTTTTGTACAAAAATGAAGCAAGTGTAGATGTAACAACGATTTGAAAAATGCTTTCTATATCCAGAGGTCAGAATTTCTTCATCAATGACCAACAAACCCCTTCTAGAACCAACAGTGAACCTCAGATCTTTTCTTGGATTGTTTCGGGAGCTTCTCCAGTGGTGCTCAGGTGGTCTTGCGGTCAGTGGTGGGCATCAACCTGGGAGCCCCATGCACGCCAGGCAATTGCACCATCGTTCCAGTCCTTGGAGCCATCTCCCTGAACTGAAAGAAAATCCTTGATCCTTAGTTTCCGGAGACTGTTCTCCTTTGTAAACCATCTACTTTAATCAGTCATCACTGGGGACCAGGTCTGGGTAGAACTGGAAGTGCAGGAGCTGGAGCGATAGCACAGTGGGTAGGGCGTTTGCCTTGCACACAGCCAACCAGGGTTCAATTCCCAGAATCCCATATGGTCCCCTGAGCATCGCCAGGAGTAATTCCTGAGTGAAGAACCAGGAGTAACCCCTGTGCAACACCAAGTGTGACCCAAAAAAGCAAAAAAAAATTTTAAATAACTGGAAGTGCAAACTAGGAAGAGTACTTCTGTGGATGCTCACGGTGGGTGGGGAGGGAGGGACATAGGAAACAGGATGAAGGAGCTGTGTGCCCCAGGACTCCACTGTGCTGTGGAACATGGCTGTCCGCACGATGGCATCAAATCAAACACCCAGCATGCAGGCTTGGGGTTGGAGAAAGCAGGGAAAGACAAATACACCACTCATGCAACCGAAAGAAAAGTGCATTTGAAAACATTTGAGAGGCAGGAGCGATAATATAATGGGGAGGGTATTTTTGCCTTGCACACAGCCAACTGGGTTCAATCCCTGGCACTTTATGTGGTCCACTGAGCACCACCAAGAGTGATTCCTGAGTGCAGAGTCAAGAGTCACCTCTGAGCATCACCGGGTTTGGCCCCCAAACAAACAAAACACCACTTGAACATCTTTTGGTTCCTTGAAGAGGCTCTGTTTCACTTTCCTGAGAATTCACTCGGGGGTAATGCCTGAGTGATGCTGGGTAAGTGGTCTGTAATAGGGGTGCCTTCTCTTGAGGGTGACGGGGGGCCACTAGGCTACCATGGTGAGAAGGTGAGAGAAGACAACGCCAGAGGTGTACAGTCAGGATGAGCCCTGGGGTGCACGCTGATGCACGTGTCTGTGCTTCTCTTGCAGAGAAACGCTGTATGAGATGCATGTTTCCAGGACTCTCTCCTCTGACAAGCTGGCAAACTCTGGGTCAGGAGAGAACAAGGGGCTGAAGGTGGGCATCATCGGAGGCGGCTCCCTGGGCAAGCAGCTGGCGCACGTGCTGCTTCAGCTGGTGCCCCTCTCTGCCGAGAGCCTGCGGATCTCCACTCGCCGGCCAGAGTCCCTGGGTGAGGAGCAGGCAGCGGGAGAGAGTGGGTGAGGGGTGGGTTTCGATGTTGATGAGGCCATTTGTTTTTTGTTTTTTGTTTTTTTAACTGTCTCATTTTTTAAAAATTTTTATGGGGCCGGAGCAATAGCACAGCGGGTAAGGTGTTTGCCTTGCACACGGCCGACCTGGGTTCGATCCCTGGCATCCCATATGGTCCCCCAAGCACCACCAGGAGTAATTCCTGAGTGCAAAGCCAGGAGTAACCCCTGAACATTGCTGGGTGTGACCCTAAAAGAAAAAATTTAAAAAATGAAATTTGTTGAAATAAAAAATAAATAAATCATCAGGGACTGTCACTGTCCTCCCATTGTTCATCGATTTGCTCAAGCGGGCCCAGTAACGTCTCCATTGGAGACTTTGTTGTTACTGTGTTTGGCATATCGAATACATCACGGGTAGCTTGCCAGGCTCTGCCGTGCGGACGAGACACTCTCGGTAGCTTGCTGGGCTCTCCAAGAGGGCCGGAGGAATCGAACTTGGGTCGGCCATGTTGGCTGCATAATAAAAATTTTTATTAGTGAAACACCATGAGGTACAGTTGTAGACTTCAAATTTTTGTGCTTGGGTTTCAGTTATACAATGACCGAATATCCATCCCTCCACCAGTGCCCATTCTCCACCACCACGAATCCCAGTATCCCTCCCACCCCCTATCCCCCCATCCCACCCTGCCTCTGTGGCAGGGCATCCCCTTTTGTTCTCTCTCTCCTTTTGGGTGCTGTGGTTTGCAAAAGAGGCACTGAATGGCAATCATGTTCGGTCTATAGTCTACTCTGATGAGGCCATTTGGAAGGAGTTCCTTGAAGGAGGAGTCAACGGAGGTGGCGTGCTGAGCAGAGCTAGCAAGGGGGCTTTGTTTGTTTAGCCTGTTCCTTTAGAACAACTTTCTTCTCCCCCTCCACCTTTCGGTTTTCATCTCTCCTCTCTGTGCCCTGAGTGAGATTCTTTCTGGATCTCTGAGACAGAGAAGTTTTTCCCAGAGTCCCCACTGGTGAGATCGGTTGACTAGTTCCAAACCTGGGGTCTTGTGCTTTTCTTCTTCTTTGGGTGGGTGTGGGACAATGCCTGGTTAGTGCTCAGGGGATATTCCAGGCTTGGTGCTCAGAGGTCACTCCTGACCCACAGTGCTCAGGGCACAGCCCAGGGTGTCTGAAAACTAAGTATGTGCTCTTTGCAGCTCTAGTCTTGTGCTTCACAAAAGAACATACTGATTTTTTTTTAAAGCAATGATTCCATATACTAATCTTAGTGGATAGAATTCAGAACAGTGGCAGCTTTGGGGAACATTAAGAAGGGGGTCCGGGGAGCTTTCTGGGAAGATGAAAATGTTAATATCTTTTTCCCTTTGAAAATGTTCAGTGTCTTGAGCAAGGTATGAGTTACACGGGTGTAGGCATTTATCAAAAATCATTAAGCTGGGTCTGGGGTGTGACTCAAGAGGTAGAGCACATGCTTTGCATGTTCAAGGCCCTTTGTTGGACCCTGGATACTATGTGGTCCTCTTGAGCACCATGGACAGTGGCTCTGGCGGCCTCTGAGCATCACTGGGCCACAGCACTGCACCTGAGCACAACTGGTAGTGGTCCTCACAAGGCAATAAAGCTCAAAGTTCATATCTGTTGTACTTTATGGGAATTTTATTTCATCATAAAATATTTAACATAGTCTATGCATATTTTAGAAAAGTACTCTATTGGGAAGTATTGAGACTTAGTGAAATGCCTTTGCTCTTATTTCCTGAGATTTTTCAACTCTGTTTATATCAGTAGCTAAACTGCTGGGAGTCATTTGCTCCTACTTTTTCACTTAATGTGCCATGAGCATATTCTCTTATCATTTAGCCTTCTTCAAAATTATGATTCTGGAGTTGTATGGTATTCTGATGTCTAGAAGTACCATAACTTATATAACTGTGCCTTATTTAATCGGGCTTCCTTGAACATGTTTTTAAAATAAATTACCAGGTCAGGGTAAGGGGGAGAGGGCAGTTAGGAAAGAGAAGAGACCACTATGACAATGGTAGTTAGAAATGATCACTATGGACAAGAACTGAGTGCTGAAAGTAAGTGAAGGGTTATACATGATAATCTTTAGGTATCTGTATTGCAAACCATAATGACCTAAAGGGGGAGGGTGGAGAGGGGAAGTATCTGCCATAGAAGCAGACTTGGGGGGGCATGGGAGGTGGAATTAAGGAAATTGGGGATATTGGTGGTGGGAAATGTACACTGGTGAACGGGTAGGTGTTGGAACAATGTATGACTGAAACCCAAGCATGAACAACTTTGTAACTGTTTATCTCACCATAATTTAATTAAAATATATATATTTAAAAACCCTGGGCCCTGGTTCATATCAGACATTTGTTATTCACTGGGATGCAGAGATACATCTCCATCTCCAAACCAGAGTTTGTTCTTATTTTGGGTCTGACTCTGTCACTCTACATGATCATTCTGAGATTATGTCCAGGTTCTTTCATGTGCTGAGACCCTTTTTGTTGTGTTTTATTTTTGATGCTAGGGTTTGAATGCAGGGCCTCATATATGCTAAGCATGTGCTCTATCACTGGACTGACTCGCTGGCCTATTAACAGTATTCATTTTCTTTCTGAGTAGTATTTCATTGCACAAATATTTCTACTTATTCATTGGTTGAATATTCCAGTTTATCTATTGAAACCAACATTCACGTTGATTGCATTTGGGACTGTTACAAATAAATTGATATTGTGTATAAATATTAATATGAAAAAGGGTTTTTTTGGATAAACATTCTGGAGTTGGATGGCTGGTGATACAGTAGTATTCTTGATTTTCAAAAAAAGTTATAATTTTTTAAATTTTCTGTAGATGTAAATTTTTAGCAATATTGTATTAAAATGCCTATTTTACTACACTCATCCTTTCTGGGGATAATAATTATTGTTTTTATGACATTTTAATGGCAATATTTCCTGCAGGCCACAAAAACCTCCATCTCTCTCAGAGAGCCCGGTAAGCTACTGAGAGTATTCCGCCCATACGGCAGAGCCTGACAAGCTACCCATGACGTATTCGATATGCCAAAAACAGTCACAATAACGGGTCCCATTCCCCTGACCCTGAAAGAGCCTCCAATATGCTATTGGGCTACGTGACAGGGACGAATGGAGACATTATTGGCACCTGCTCAAGCAAATCAATGAACAACGGAATGACAAGTGATAACAAGTGATGATGGTCACATTCTAACATGGCTTTAAAATTTGTTGTATTTCAATATGTCTTTTATTGATCATTAGAAGAACTGAAAACTCTTGTAACTTTATTGTTATTTTATCTTTTTTTTTTTTTTGGTTTTCAGTTTTTCTCTTTAAAGGGCCTTTCAAGCCAGAGTGATAGTACAGTGGGTAAGGAACTTGCCTTGCACAAGGCCAGCCTGGGTTTGATTCCCCAGCACCCCAAGTCCGCCAGGAGTGATTCCTGACCACAGAGACAGGAATAAGCCCTGAGTATTGCCGGGAGTGGCCAAACAAACAAACAAAAATTCTCACTGGTTTTTAAATGTTATTTCTAGAGTAAAAAATCCTTAGTCACCACTCTAGGTAAATCTCATAAGTCTCACTAGGAAGACTATGTTTATTATTTGTTTTTATTTTCTGGCCACACTCAATGGTGATCAGGGTGTACTTCTCACTCTGTGCTCAGGGATCGCCCCTAACTCCTAAGGGGTGCTGGAGATTGAACCCAGGTCAGCCATTTCAAGGCAAGTGCCCTGCAAGTAGTGCTATCTCTCCAGCCTCAGGAAGGCTATGTTTATTAATAATAAAATTATAGTCTTAGAATATCACTGCTGTTATGAAAGGAAGTATCTATTAAAATGCTTAGCCTCAGCTTCTATGTACTGAGGGCCACACATGAAAGAAAGTTAAATCTCACACCTTCTCCACCATCTCACCTGCAAGTGTTCACATCTAACCTCAGCATCACATTTATCATTTCCCAGTGACTGAGAAAAACTGACCTCCTCAATGTCTATAAGACTGTCTCGTTAATTCTTAAAGCACTCTACTGTTTTCACTTCTATTGTTTTGGCTCAGGGCTTACTCCTGGCTTTTCACTCAGGAATTAGTCCTTGCTGGCTCAGAGGACCATATAGGGTGCCAGAGATCACACCCAGGTCAGCCATGTGCAAGGCAAGCACTATACCCGCTGTACCATCACTCAGGCCCCCAATTTTATTTTTAAAAATCACCCTTACATGTTGGGAGGATCCTCCCATGATGGGAGAAGCATGCTGAAAGTAGACTATAGACCAAACATGATTGTCACCTATTGCCTCTTTTGCAAACCACAACACCCAATAAGAGAGAGAGAGAACTAAAGGGAATGCCCTGCCACAGAGGCAGGGTGGGATGGGGAGGATGCGGGGTAGGAGGGATACTGGAATCCGTGGTGGTGGGAAATGGGCACTGGTGGATGGGTGGGTATTTGATCATTGTATAATTGAAACCCAAGCACAAAAAATTGTAAGTCTACAACTGTACCTCATGATATCTCACTAATAAATTTTTTTTTAAAAATCACCCTTAGAGTAAGTATGGTCAAATGACTAAACACTGCTTTTATACAAACACACAAGTTATCATCTTGTTCACATAATGCATCTCTGTCCCATGAAAGTGTATGTACCTGGGGCCGGAGCAAATGCCAGAAGGCAGGGCGTTTGCTACCACGTGGCCGACCCTGGTTTGATCCCTAGCATCCCATGTGATCCCCCAAGCACCACCAGGAGTAATTCTTTAGTACAGAGGCAGGAGTAACCCATGAGCATTGCCAAGTGTGAACCAAAAAGAAAACCAAAAAGTGCCTGTACCTATTGAAACTTTCCCCCACTCCTCCCAACCTCTGCCCTCTGTCCTTCCAGTCTCTTCATCTTTCCCACCAGTGCGAGCCAGCGAGCTGATCAGCATTGGTCCAGCCACATAGCTTCCAAAGCAGTCATCTCATATCTGACTCAGGACTGCGAAAATTTCCCATAGAATGTAAAGTCCTTTATTATAGGATCCTTGACAAACCTCTAGTAAATTGAGGCAGAAGACTTCTTTCAGATTTTTTTCACCCCCCTGCTAAAAGTACTCTAGAACATTCTTGCATGTGGCTTAAAAGATAAGAATTCTCTTGTTGTGTCCAGCACCGGGGCAGCAGAGGACCTCCTGTCTTTAGCCACGTGCCTCTAGGCATGGCTGGGTAGCTTTAGAGGCCACAAGGGAACAACACTTGAGCGGAAATCATTGCTACCATCCACTGTGCTTGATGTTGAGGTCACACTCCTTTGTTCTGTGTCTATCTTCCTGTTCCCCCCCAGATGAGCTCCAAAAACTGGGTGTCCAGTGCTTTTATCAGAACTCGAACCTGGTGCACTGGGCCAACCTGATCTTCATTTGCTGCCTGCCGTCACAGCTGCCTAACATCTGCGTGGAGATCACCAACAGCCTGGAGAAAGCCTGCATCATCTACAGCTTTGTAGCAACTGTTCCTGTCACCAGGTACCCACAGAGATGCTCCAACACCCCTCGGCTGCTTCTGATTCCCTCCCCACCCTTTGGGTCTGGCCCCACCTCTTGGAGTTGAATATTCCTGGGACCTGGTGGATGTCCCTTCCTTCGCCTGTGTGATGGGACAGGTGTTTTTGTTTTGCTTTGCTTTGGCAGTGGTGCTAAGACCTAACTTCTAGCTTTGCATTCAGGAATCACTTCTGGTGGTGCTCAGGAAACCACTGATGGGTGCCAGGATTTAAACCCAGGGCTGGAGCAATAGCACAGCGGCTAGGGCATTGCATGCAGCTGACCCGGGTTCAATTCCCAGCATCCCATATGGTCCCCTGAGCACCGCCAGGAATGATTCCTGAGTGCAGAGCCAGGAGTGACCCCTAGGCATTGCCAGGTTTGACCCAAAAAGCAAAAAAAATTAATAATAATAATAATAATAATAATAATAAATAAACCCAGAGTGGCTGTGTGTGCAAGACAAGCGCCCTACCCACTGTCCTATTGCTCTGGCCCATGACAGTTTCATTGTGCAACTGAGTAGGACCTTGCTTCACACTTTGGAGGGGACTCATGTTCTCCTCAAGCATTCATGGGAAGGGGAAACACCAGCATGAAAAGTGACACTGGTTGTCACGTGTCATTTTAACCCAGAGAGTCTGGCTCAGCGCCTGGCATAAGTTGACTTACCATCTGTGTGTGTGAGGTGGCTGGTTGAACTCCCCAGCAGTCAGGAGTGCCCCCTGTGCAGTCAGAGATGGAGGGGAGGGTAGGCTATGGTGTGGAATCAGTGCTTGGTGGTTGCCAGGCCCTTGGCACTGAATCCCTGCCTGTCACGGCGGCTTCACTTCCAGGCTGAAACTTTTACTTAACCACACCAATGTCTTGCGGCCTCAATATCATTGTTTCCCAGAAGTGACTGATTTCTGGGGATCCAATAAGGACATCTCTACTGCTCTCCAAGACCCCGTGATGCTTCAAGCCACCTGCCCCTACTGTTCTGCTGGTATGGCTCATCATATTTCTGGAACTTTTTTAAAGAATGATTACTCTTACTTAGCCCCTTGCTCTGTGTGTGTGCGTGTGTGTGTGTGTGTGTGTGTGTGCATGTGTGTGTGTTGCAGGTATGGGAGGATAACTAGTAGGAGCTAGGCACATCTTTAACTATTTAGAAGAGCAGTTTGTATGCCAAAGAGCTCATGATGTTAGGGAAACACAAGCCGCATTCCTTGGACCCTTTAAGGATCCTATTGAAGCCAGAAGGACGTTATCTGTTCAAACTATGTATGGCGTAAGTGACCTGTCCCAATAGTGCAGTTTTCCCTGGACCTTCTCTTGGTTAACAAGGACTGCTCTTGGGACTAGAGTGATAGTACAGTGGGTAGGGCGTTTGTCTTGCATGCGCCCGACCTAGGTTTAATTCCCAGCATCCCATATGGTCCCCCGAGCATTGCCAGGAGGAATTCCTGTGTGTAGAGACAGGAGTAACCCCCATGCATCACCGGGTGTGACCCCAAAAAACAAACAAACAAACAACAACAAAAATAAACAAGAACTGGTCTAGAAATTATACTTTTGTAATTTGCATTCTCTGCCGTATCCCCTTGTGATCCTCTGGAGGTGGGCTCCCCAGGAACCCCCACAGCCCTGTTGTGTTAGAAAGGGCTCTAGTAGGCTCTGGGATGAGGGAGAAGGGCTAGCTTACCCTTAAACTCATTTGACAAGACTGCCTTGGAAGAAAGGTGCTTGTCACCCAGGTCTGGAGATTTGTCTTAGGTTCCTGCCTATCTTGCTGGAGGTGCTCACTGAGCTTTCTCTGTTGGCCTGTAGGGGGAATAACACTCAACCCCAAATGGCTGGAGGGTGTGATCTACGCACTCATCAACAGCTGCTTCGGGGAGAACCTCTTCTACCGCCAAGTGCTGCTGCTGCTCAATAAAGTGTTCCTATCCATGCATGGCAAGGCCTGTGGGCAAGACCAGAAAACCTGCCCCACGTTCCAGCTTCAGGACCTCGTCAGCAAGGTCTATGCCGAGAACATGTCTCAGAAGAGGTAAGTAGGGGATGCCTCAGCTGGGGTTGATCCCCAGAACCCTATATGGACCCCACGCCCTCCAAGAATGATCCCTGAGCAGAGTCAGGAGTAAGCCCTGAACATCACTGGGTGTGTTGTTCACCCTACTCCCTGACCAAATGTAAGTCCAACAAGAAGCTGGACAGGGCCAGGATTAAGGTGCCTGCCTTGCTTACAGTCCATCCAGGTTCCATCCCTGGCACCACATGGTCCCCTGATCACTGCTAGGTGTGACTCTGTAGGCTCCTGAGTACTGCTGGGGTGGTTCTGATGGTTCCTGGTATCACAGGGCCCAAGATGCAGCACATTCTTGGGCCCACACATTGAACCATGGACCCAGTTGGCCAAGAATTATTGGCCCTGGGCACCCTGAGTACCACTTGGGCGGCCCTAAGAAATCAAAACCAAAAATCTCAACTAGTAGAGAGAGGAGTGCTTCCTCTCTCCCACAGGTTGCACCCCACAAACTTCCTCTCTCAACTTTCAGTTTTTTCACTGGTATCAAGGATCTTACATGCAGGCATGTGCTCTACCTCTGAACCATCTCCCTGGTTCTTTATACCTGGAACATAGCTCAAGTGGTAGAACGAATGCCTAGCATAGTGAGGCTCTAGCTGCTTCCCTCCCAGGCATTTCCTCCATCCCCGAACCCTGTAGACACATGGGGGTGGGCCTGACTCCCCAGAAAAACTTTGCTGGAGGTGGCCCCTATAAAAAAGAACGGAGAGGGGGAGTTTGTATATGTCATTTTTTTTATCTCTGCTTCGACACAAATGCATTTATGTTATCATCTTATAATGTACTATAGTGAATTTAATGGAAACCCAGGGACTCTTCACGCTGCTTTTCTGGAAACCAGCTTCCACTGGTATACCCATTGCCTAGCCATCACTTGACTCTGTCCATAAAACCAATTTGATGCTTTTATTCTATATCCTCTTTACAGTCATGTAGTTCTTCTCAGCCCCAATTTTTGCACAAAGGGCTGCTTTGAACATTCTCTTCCTGGATCAGAGATTGTACCTATTTTGTTTGTTAGGTAGTATTCCCAAACTGCTCCTCAGAAACATGCCACTTGCTGGGATTGCTGGGATTGTAGCTTAGTAGTAGAGATAAACTTCCCCAGTCTCTCTCTCTCTCTCTCTCTCTCTCTCTCTCTCTCTCTCTCTCTCAAACACACACAGACACACAGACACACACACACACACACACACACACACACATGTGACCTCATAAAAAGCATTATGTGACTTTCTACTAATAGAAAATGGACCTGACATTTCTCTGTAGCTTGATAAGATCAATTTTTAAAACTTTGTGTGTGTGTGTGTGTGTGTGTGTGTGTGTGTGTGTGTGTGTAGTGGTGGGTGAGAAACCCGACAGTGTTCAGGAAACACTCACTCCTGACGTTACTTGGAGGACCATAGTGGTTTGCCTCAAGTAAGGCACATGCTTTACGGTGTATTATCTTTTTGGCCCAAGATCAGTTTTTCTGGTTTTTTTTTATCACCTTGAAATTGCAAAGCTTTCATGATCAGTTTCAGGTATGCAGTGTTTCAACACCAATCCCTTCACTAGTATCCACTTCTTTCCACCAATACCCCTCAGCCCCCATTTGCCTCCTGCTTGAATTTTGAGGCCACACCCAGCAGTTGTCAGGGCTTCCTCCTGGCTCTGGGATCACCCCGAGCATCATATGTGGTGCCAGGAATCAAACCTGGGTCTGTCGCATGCAAGGAAGAGCCCTACCTGCCATACTAACACTCTGGTCCCCAAAGATCAAAAGATTGCTTTTAACCACACCCAGAAGTACTCAGGGTTTACTCCTGGGTCTATGCTCAGGGGTCACCCCTGGCAGGGTCCAGGGGAACACATAGGATGCTGGGAGATCAAACCCAGATTGACAGCATTCAAGGCAAGCATAACATCTGCTATACTATCACTCTGCCTCCACACCCCCCACACACACACACACACAAAAAAATTTTTTTAATGACCTAAAACAATGGGTCAGGGGTTTAGAGTAGCTGACTTGCAAGAAAGAGCACGGCCAGGGGCTGGAGCAATAGCACAGCGGGTAGGGCATTTGCCTTGCACGCGGCCCACCCGGGTTCAATTCCCAGCATCCCATATGGTCCCCTGAGCACCACCAGGAGTGATTTTTGAGTGCAAAGCAAGGAGTAACCCCTGAGCACCGCTGGGTGTGACCCAAAAAGCAAAAAAGAAAAAAAAAGAAAAAAAGAGTATGACCACGTTTAAGTTCCTGACATTGATGATTGATGTGTGGGCATACAAGCCTGGCAGCCAAGCCTGGCAGCCCTGTTCTTGAGCCTGCAATTCTGCTGTCTGCCACCCCTGATGCTGGAAAGGATTTTGGGTTGGGGGGGTGAGGGCAGGGATTAATCTTTTTCATCTCTGATTATCCACTTAATCACTTAATCACTTAACTTCCCGTTAGTCGTCGATTTGCTCGCGCGGGCGCCAGTAACATCTCCATTTGTCCCTGTCGCGTGCTAGTGTAGCCCAATGGCATCTGTTCGCTCCGGGAACATGAAGGGCCTCAAACCGATCGTTCATGATCTTGACGAAGAAGTCTGACCATCTGGAAGGTGGGCGGCCATGCGGTCTTTTGACATCCCGTGGAATCCAGTTGGTAACAGCTCTAGTCCAGCGGTCATCTTTAAATCTCATTACGTGACCAGCCCATCTGATTTTTGACACCTTGGCAAATGAGACAGCGTCCCTGATTCTTGATCGTCGACAGATGTCAGAACTCCGGATTCTTTCTCTCATTTGAGTGAAACGTGATATTCCAAGCATAGCTCTTTCTATTCTTCTTTGGGAGACCTGAATAGCGTTCTCATCTTGTTTGCGTAGGGCCCAGGTCTCTGAGGCATATGTTAATGCAGGAAGAGCAGTGGAATCAAAGAGATGTGCCCGGAGCTGGAGGTTCTTCGTCCTCTTAGCTATTTCTTCGACGTTCTTGAAGGCGTTCCAAGCTGCTCTCTTCCTCCTGCGCAGCTTGGGTACCAGGTCATTTGTCATGTTGACCTCTTGACCTAGGTATACATAGCTGTTGCATTCGGAGATGGTCGTTCCATTGAGAGCGAATGGGGCGTCAGGAATGAGGCTGTTTCTCATAAACATTGTCTTTGTAAGATTCAGCTGTAGTCCTACTTTTCCACACTCACGGTCAAAGTCGACCAGCATTTGTGCCGCTTGGCTGATGTTTGGTGTCATTAAAACAATGTCATCAGCAAAACGGAGGTGGTGTAGTTGCCGACCATCTATCTTCACTCCCATTCCTTCCCATTCCAGTCGTCGCATGATGTTCTCGAGGGTGGCACTGAAGAGTTTCGGTGAAATGGTATCACCCTGCCGCACCCCTCTCTTGACATCAACGATCACTTCTTTGTAGAATGGTGAGATCCTGGTAGTGAATCCGCAATACAGCTCACGGAAGATCCTGATGTATTGGGCTTGAATGCCCTGATTGGATAGGGCTTCAATGACCACTTCCGTCTCAACAGAATCAAAGGCCTTCTTTAAATCAATGAACGTTAAACAGAGCGGCATCTTGAACTCCCGAGAAACCTCAATGAGCTTGGTCATTGTGTGGATATGGTCGATGGTGCTGAATCCTTTGCGGAACCCAGCTTGCTCGCATGGTTGTCCTTCATCTAGTGTTCTGCCAATCCTATTTAGGATGACTCGAGTGAACAACTTGTAGATGACAGACAATAGGCAGATCGGGCGATAGTTGCCAATGTCATGGATGTCTCCCTTCTTGAACAGTAGTACGGTCCTGATGGTTTTCCATTGGGACGGAACCTTGCATTCAGACAGGTAGCGAGTGAAGAGCCAAGCCAGTGTATTGATGAGTACTGACGGCAGGTTCTTCAGGTGTTCAGGTCTGACCTTGTCTGGGCCGGGTGCTGTTTGTTTCTTTACCGACGAAATGGCGTGTCGGATTTCGGAAGGGAGAACGTTGGGAACGACATATCCATCCTGTGGAATTTGGTATGTCGGCAAGTGGACATGGCTATCGAAGAGATTTGAGTAGAAGTCATGGATAATCTTCTCCATTGCCGTTCTGGAGGATGTGATGGATCCATCAGGACGTCAGAGGGCAGTCATCTTGGTCTTATGGTTGGCGAAGGACAGGCAGGCATTACGAATACTTTTCCCGGCTTCTGCCGCATCTACCAGTACTTCTGCTCTTCTCTCTTTGAGGTCTTCCTTGATCGCATCTCTGCACTGCTTTGCGAGCTCGGGTGTTAGCTTGCGGTTGCCTGAGGCATGCGCCAAACCACGCTGGTGAATTAGCTTAAGAGTTTTCGAAGATAGGCGATTTTTTGTGACTATCTCTCTCTTGGCGTTCCTTGCACATTCATTGAGGTGCTGAACCAGTCGATTGTATTCCTCGTCAATATTGTCAACAATGGCATCTTCCCATGTTGCTGCAATAGTACCAAAGAGTTCCCAGTTGGTGGTCATTCTGGGAGTTCTCTTTTTGAACTTTGCAGCCCTTTCTCCCCGCTCTGTGAAGTAGAATTTTGCACGAAGGAGACGGTGGTCCGATCCCGTTCGAAATTTTGGGACAACAGTGACATCAGTCAGGCAAAACCGTCGATTGAATATGATGTGGTCTATTTCGTTGTGGAATCGTCCACCGGGAGACTCCCATGTCCATCGTTTAGATTCTGCCTTCTGGAACTGTGAGTTACCATGAATGGTCTTGGTTGACATGATGAACTCAGACAGTCTCTCACCCTGTTCGTTCCATTCTAGGCCATGGGTCCCGATGTGAAGTTCTTCAGCTGATCTTCTCGGTCCTATTTTGGCATTAAAATCACCCACAATGATCTTGTAGAAGGTGTGGTCTTCTTTATAGAACTTCTCTAGCTCCATGTACAACTTCTCGATTTCTCTTTCATCATAATGAGATGTTGGTGCGTAGACAAAGAAGATAGAAACTGCAGGCAGTGAGCCACATCTATTCAAATGTAAACGTCCGATTCTGGTTGTTAGGCATTCGAATGAATCAATGCTCTTGGCCAAGTTTGTGTTGACAAGGACACCAACGCCTCCAACACCTCTTTTATCGCATGTTCCGAGGAACAATTCTTCTCCAGTGTCGAAAACGGCATGGTGAGATTCGTGCCTTCTTGTCTCGGTCAGACCAATGATGTCGTACTTGATCATTCGCGCTTGTACCATCAGGTCCTCGATGGATGCATCTGATGCTAGCGTACGTGCATTGAAAGTACAGACGAACATTTTTGTCTTCCTTCGTTGTGGCAGCCTAGGTCGGCCTTGAGATTTTGTCGGTCTCTCCTTTCTCATCCTTCTCAGTGCTGCCATGTCGGTGAAGCCTTCATGGTCAGGTGAATGAGACCAGTTGTAGTTACTGGTTTTGGCATATCGAATACACAGTGGATAGCTTGCCAGGCTCTTCTGTGCGGGCGGAATACTCTCGGTAGCTTGCCAGTCTTTCCGAGAGGGATAGAGGCTTTTGGGGCGACCTCTAGTCACCCTTGTAGGTGTTACCATATTTGAACCCTATCAAATATGGTACAACAATTCCGGAAGATGGGTATTTAGGGTCCGGAAAGCATCCTGGAGTGTGGCGACGGCTGGGTTGTGGCTTTCCGGACCCGCGTGGCAGCTCCGGCCGAGAGCTTGCGACAGCACGTTCAGCTTCTGATTATCCAACTGGGAAAAATAGTTTTCCCGGTTGCAGTGACTTCCATATCTACTAAATTCACTGATTACAGCTAAATCCTCTTCTCCTGGGTCCACTGAGCACGTCAGCCTTCTTGTAGCAATCTCTCCCCTTGGTTTGCATGATACCCTTGAATCTTCACTTCCTTCCTATCTCTCGGGGTCCTCCTTTGCCAGCTTCTCTCCTTTGCCAGGCCTCTGTCCCTGTCTTTCTTTCATACTTCCTTCTTGGATCTTCTTTCTTGATTCAGAGATTGAAAATGCTCTGCTTATGCCTAGAGCACCTTTCTCTCTTTCTCTCTCTCTTCTCTCTCCATCACATATGGTCCCCGAAGCCACACCAGCCACTGCATCTGGTCAACAGCACTGCCAGGCATGTTCCCTGAGCTTAGAGGAATAGCCCTCAATACCACAGGGAATTCTGTCACTGTCACTGTCACTGTTCTCCTGTTGTTCATCGATTTGCTCAAGTGAGCACCAGTAATGTCTCACAACAAATTGTGAGACATTGTTACTGTTTTTGGCATATTGAATATGTCATGGGTAGCTTGCCAGGCTTTGATGGGCGGGTGTGATACTCTCAGTAGCTTACCGGGCTCTCTGAAAGGGGTGGAGGAATCGAACCCGGGGCAGCCACGTGCAACACTGACCCACTGTGCTATGGCTCCAGCCCTAGGGGGAACTCTACCCAAATTAAAGTTTTGAGATATTCACATGTAGTTGCTAAGAAATAATGTATTTATTTACCTAGTTCCCTCCAGTGGTACAAACATAATTATAACTTCAGTTGCAGCATCACAACCAGAATACTGTTTACAATACTGTCAAGACATAGAGCGGCTGTATGACTCTACTCCCCCAGGGATTCTTCAAGATCCCTTTGCAGTCACTAATCTAGTTTCTGTTTCTATGGTTTTGTCATTTCAAGAATGTCATATAGAGGCCGGAGCAACAGTAGGTAGTAAGGTAAGAGAGGGTGCTTGCCTTGCACGTGGCCAATCTGGGTTCCATCCCCGGCAAACCATATTATCCCTTGAGTCCAGCCAAGAGTGAGTCCTGAGTATAGAGCCAAGAGCGACCCCTGAACATTGCCAAATATGCCCCCCAAGCAAACAAATGAACAAAAAGAATCATCTAGAACTAAAAAAAATCTATCATATCACTTTTGGATTTGGCATTTTTTCAATAAGCATAATTCTCTAGAGTTTTGTCCAAGTTTCTAACTGTATCAGTGTATCCATAGTTGGTTTAGCCACTGACCTTGTTTAGCTATTTATTTTGCATGAGTTGTTTCTAGTTTGGTTTTTTTTTTTTTTACTATTATGAACAAAGTTTCTATGAATACTCACGTACAGGTAATTTTATGCAAACATAAGTTTTCATTTCTCTGGGACAAATACTCAGGAATGCAATTACTAGCTCATGTGATAACTGAATGTTTAACTTTTTGAAAAGACACTGCCAAACTGTTTTTTTTAAAATCTTAAGACATCTGTTGAATTTTTCCATCCACGTTTATCTCTCCACTATTTCAGTCTTCATTTCATCAGCATTTTGTAATTTTCAGTTTGCAAGTCTTTTCAAGGATTATTAAATTGACCCCTTAGTGTTCCTTCTTGTGTGACTGGAACTACATCTTTAATTCTGGTGTCTGAGCTCACTGCTGTACAGAGGAATACAATTGGTATTTGGATGCTTATTTTATGTCCAGCAACATTTCTAAATTGATTAGTTCTAGGGGATTTTCTGTAGCTTACCTGGGATTTTCTACTTGCAAAATCATGTCATCTATAAATAGGGAATGTTTCATTTGTTTCATCCTTACCAATCTGTATGTCTTTTCTTCCTGCACTGGATACAACTTCTAACACTGTGAAGAATAAGATTTCCTGACCTTACTCCTGATCTTTAAAATACTTCAACTGTTTAAATGCTCTGTGTGTGTGTGTGTGTGCGCGCGCGCGCGTGCACGCACGCGTACTAGAGATTAATCCAGCACCTCACACAGTTATGCATGTCTTCTATCAATAGCCATATTTTGTTGGGTCCAGATTTTGTTGTTGTTGTTGTTGATTTGGGGACCTTATACAGCAGTGCTCAAGATTTACTGACAGCTCTGGGCTCAAGGATCACTCTTGGCTACCCATGTTCAGACACCATATGTCGTGCCAGGAACTGAACTAGGACAAGGCAAGGCAAGCAACCTACCCTCTGTACTATCTCTCTGACCCTTGGACCCATAGCACAGCGGGTAGGGCGTTCGCCTTACAAGCGGCCAACATGGCCGACCCGAGTTCGATTCCTCCACCCCTCTCGGAGAGCCCGGCAAGCTACCAAGAGTATTCGATATACTAGACACAGTAACAACAAAGTCTCCAATGGAGACGTTACTGGGCCCGCTCGAGCAAATTGACGATCAACGGGAGGGCCTTTACCTTTACCTTTACTTAATATAGTCCTGTTTTAATTTTGCATATTAAGTTCTACCACTTTTCCTATACAGATGAAGAGTAAACATTGATTGATTGATTGATTGATTGGATTTTTGGGTCACAGCTAGCAATGCTCAGAGATTACTCTGAGCTCTGCACTCAGAAATTACTCTTGCCAGTGCCTGGGGGATCATGTGGGGTGGGATGCTGGGGACCAAATCTGCATGCAAGGTAAATGCCCTACCTGCTGCACTATTACTCTGGCCCAAACAGTTTTTTTTAAAAGAGGCTATTGTAAAAGAAATGATATTTGTCTCTATGATCCTCATTGATATTCTCTTTGGTATTCAAGGAAACTAAGAAAAAAGAATGTCAACATCATTATTATAATAATTATCTCTGAATTTCATACGTACACTTAGTGAAATGTACAAAGGCTTGAACTGGGCCAGAGAAATAGTACAGGGATAGAGATGCTTGCCTTACACAGGCTGGCCTGGGTTTGATCCCCACCACCATATGGTCCCTCTAGCATTGCTGGGAGCAACCCCTAAGCACAGAACTGGGAATGGCCCCCAGCACCATTGTGTAGCCCTTTCCCTTTCCCCAAAAGTAAATGACTTTCCAAGTACAATTAAATTCACATTCTGAATAGTTACAGATGAATTTTTTTATTTAACTATGCATTTTAGTTGATATAAAAATTCCAAGAGAAAAAAAATTCCAAGAGGAGAAAAACTCTTTAAAAAAAAAACATTTATTGCGGCTGAGCCAGGTTTGATTCCCAGCATCCCATATGGTCCCCCAAGCACTGCCAGGAGTAATTCCTGAGTGCATGAGTCAGGAGTAACCCCTGTGCATCGCTGGGAGTGACCCCCCTCCAAAAAAAAACACTTCCATTTATCTGGGTCGCACCCGGTGATGCTCAGTGTTTACTTCTGGCTCTGCACTCAAGGATCACTCCTAGTAGGCTCAGGGGACCATTTGGGGTACTAGGGATCAAACCGGCAGATCAAACTGGCAGTATGCATGGCAAACACCCAACTTGCTGTACTATCTGTCCAGCCTGGAAAAAACCTTTCTTGAAAGACAATAGTTTTGAAACAGACTCTCATACATGTATACCCTTATTTTTTCCCCTATCCAGCTCTTTCCCTATGTTTGATCTGACTGCAGTACAGCTCAAGGAGACACCCCTGACCCAAGCTCTCTCTGCCAACGAAGTTCTCCGGGACCATCTGAACTATACCTATTGCCACTTATTCGGCATCTCCCTAAGCAGAGCACACCAGCCAGTGGAGTCCAAGGGTGCTCCATGCCCGTAAGAGAAGAGACTACGGGAATTAGGACTGTTTCTTCTCCATTAATCAACTCTGTCAATTAATCCTAATTGACAATAACAGTCACTATATTTGCCCTGTGTTAGGTATTAAATAACTAGAAAATTCTACTAGTTGTTCTTTATGATGATGTAAAACAAGAATTCTCTTACCTTGGTATCTTTCCGTATGCCTGGATTTGGGAAACAACCAAATAAAACTACACAATCTCATACATTTAAATAATCTACTTCCTGAGGAAGCCTAGTCAATATAAATTATTTTTCCTAAAAATTATATTCAATAACTTATAATGTGGGCTGGAGTGATAGGATAGTGGGTAGGGCACTTGTCTCGCGTGTAGTCAACCTGGGTTCCATCCCTGGTGTCCCATACGGTTCACTTCAACAACCAGGAGTGGTCCCTGAGCTCAGAGCTAGGAGTAACCCTTGAGCATTGCCAGGTGTGGTCCAAAAAAACAGAGTTATAATGTCTTTATGAAACATTTACATTCTTCTTGTTTCTTTTCCGGTCTCCATATGCAGTTGATAAATGATACAACTTGATTTTACTACCATTTTTGATAGAGTAGTAAAAGGATAATATCAAATGAATTTACTCACTTAAATTTTATGTCAGCAATATTTGACTATTCTTATGCTAGTCTTATTTAAAGGTATTCTATTTATATCATTTTGACTTATAGAACCATTTAAAAGTCACTGGTAGGGCTGGAGAAATAGCACAGCGGGTAGGGCGTTTGCCTTGCACGCAACTGACCCAGGTTCGATTCCCAGTATCCCATATGGTCCCCTGAGCACTGCCAGGAGTAACTCCTGAGTGCAGAGCCAGGAGTAACCCCTGTGCATCGCCAGGTGTGACCCAGAAAGCAAAAATAAAATAAAATAAAATAAAAAAATAAAAGTCACTGGCATTTATACCAAATAGCTAAAAATCACTGTGCAAAGATATATATCTCATCCCTATGGAGCAAGTGTACTTCCTTTATGCTTTGCTATTACTTTAAGTGAATTATAATAGTGTAGAAACTAATAGTAACCTCATAGAGCTGAAAAAGGATGTCACTAAAACCATTGTTTACTGATTGCAAAAGTGATTTTTTTTTTTCCCCTTTAGTTTTCCAGGCCAGTTCTAGAGGCAGAGAGAAGAGGGTGGAGTGTTAGGGCTACACCTGGTGTTTGGGTGGCCAAACAGTGTCAAGGGTTGAACCCAAAAGTCTAACACATGTAAGGAATGTTCTCTACCACTTGAGTTCCCTCTCCCCTATCCCCTAAAGTGCTTGTGAACAAAGCCATTCATGCATTCTGCATGTAAATCCTCATTATTTTAGGTTACTTGTTTACATTTTGCCTTTGCATATTTGTGAGTTAGGCTGATTTGATGGTATGTTGCTGAGTGCTTTGAGAAAATTTTGTTAGTCAAATTTGGGAAGAAAATTAAGTTTATCATCAAATATTAACACTGGACATGAATGCTAATTTGAGGCCCTGTTCTCTCTCTCAGAAGCAGCATGTAATGGTTTCCTTTGACTACTCAGTTAGGTGCGGGGAACTGAATGGGGGCATTTCTGTTCTCCTGGATTATGGTGGCCCTAGAGTGAATTCTGGGATAAAGCAGGGAGACGGGGAAGAAAAAGAATGGTTCAGCCTGGAAGACCATAGAGAAACTAGAATTATTCAAGCAACACAAAGAATCTTATCTTTTCTTTCGAAATGGCAAAGTAACTTTGAAAAGTTACTGATGGGTAAACTTTGGCCTGAGTTCATTTGTTTTGGGGGCCACATCCACTGGTGCTCAAAGGTTACTCCTAACTTAGAATGCTGAGGAATCACTCCTGGCAGAGCTTGGGGGATCCCGCAGTGCTGGGAATCAAACTTGGGCCTCCTGCATGCAAAGCACATGTTTCAGTTTATTGATCTGTTTTTCTAGCCCTTAGTCTGGTTTTATTTAATAAAGTCTGGAAAATGATACACAGAAGAGTCCTATAAGCAACTCAGACTCTACTCCATAATCAATAGTATTTCTATAAACTAGGCTTTTTATAAAGATAAGTATAATCAAAATAATTTAAAAAACATTTTCTCTGGTATTGAAAGAAAAAAGGGAACTCATCTTTTCATTTTTTAATTTAAAAAAATGTATTTAAACACTTTTGTTCACAAAGTTGTCATAATACAGTTGTTTTAGGCATTCAATGTTCCAACACCAATCCCACCACCAGTGACCAGTGTGACCTTCCCCCCACCCCCAAGTCTGCCCTCTTAGCAATCACAAAATCATTTCTTTTATATTGCTTATATTTATATTAAATGATCAGTGGAATTATCAAAACATAGTTCAATAAAAGAAAGCTTGTTAAAATTGTTCTATTTAATTTTAGGGTGCGATGGGAGGGTTCCTCCTGGCTAATTGCTGGGAGTTGCTCCCAGTGGTGCTGGGGAAATGTTTGTGGTGAGACTGAACCTCGGGCTCTTGCATGCAAAGCCTGTGCTCCAGCCCTAATAGCTACTGCAGTTATCTTCCCTCTTCCCTACCTCTTTATTTTGTTGTTGTTGTTGTGTGTTACACCCAGAGATTTTTCAGGACTTAATCTTGGCTCTGTGTTCAGGGGTCACTCCTGCTGGGGTTCAGGGGACCATATGAGGTACTGGAGATTGAACCCCAGTCAACCATATGTGAGGCAAGTATCCTACCTGCTGTATTCTCTCATTTCCTTTTTATTTATTTTTTAGTTGCAAAATTGGTCATGATTGGTTTTTAGTCATATTATATTCTAACACCCATCCCTTCAGTGTACATTTCCCACCTAATACCCTCAGTTTCTCTTCCGCCTCCCCAACCCCGCCTGCCTCCATGGCAAGGCACTGCATTTCTTTCTTTCTTTCTTTCTTTCTTTCTTTCTTTCTTTCTTTCTCTTTCTCTTTCTTTCCTTCCTTCCTCCCTCCCTCCCTCCCTTCCTTTCTTCCTTCTTTCTTTTCCTCTCTCTCACCCTCTCTCTCCTTTTGACTTTCTCTTCCCTTTTGGCAGCCCCTCCTTTCAAAGAGCATTTTTTTTCCCTTTAAAAAACATAAGTGCTGATCTCTTCTCTATTTTTGAACTGTAAGTGGTTAAGTGGAACAAAAATGTTAAATAAACCTCAAGTGAGTCTCACATCTGAGAATGTCTTTCTGGGGGGGACCCTGGAGCCCTCTTTGGAATGTGAGCATAATGGAGGGGGTGACACCTCATCTCCCTGGCTCCATGGGAGTTGAGCCTAAGCGTATGGCTCTAGGTAGTAATGTCCTGTTTGTCTCAGCAATATGAGAAGTTCTGTTTGTCCATGAATATAGACAATTAACAGGGATGCAGCAGAATGAAGACTGAAGGCTGTGTGATATAGAGTTCCTGTCTCTGCAATCTTGTTAGCAATCTGCCTCTGACATGCACTGAATACTGATTTAATGCTCAATCAATAATAAAACATTACCTCTCTGCCCCTGGATTTGCGGAGGGGATTATTTGTGCTGGCAGGTTTACTTTTAATTCTAGTTCCTTAAATGTACTCGTTCCCAAGTTATGCATCGCTAGAATCTATCAGGAATTCTGACAACAGCCCAGATAAAGAAGCTCTGTGGTCTTTACTTTAATGAGGGATGAAACAGAACACAAAGAACGGTGTGGTTCAGGGCAGGCTGCCCCATTTAAACACAGAGGATATTTCTATCTCAAGACAGTCAATGTTACAAAGACGCAGGAAGAACATTCCGACCTTCCCTTTAACTGCTTAAAATAATTTAGAGAACTTGTTCCCGGAAGAGAACTACTCCCAAGAAAAACCACAGTAGAGTATGAGCTAGGTGTGGCAGAATGAGTTAGACTTCAAAGTCATTAGTTTTCCTCTATCAGTCTACCTGAGTTAATGATTGGTAGAAGAACCAATCAGGGAAGATTGTGAATCAGTGAGAGAATGAGGCAATTCTAACTCATCCCTAATGGAAAAGGGAAAAGGGGGGGGAACCCCCAATTCTACAATCCCTGCAAATTTGATCTTTTCAGTTTGTGAAGTTTTTCTGACAATGGTTCAGTGCCTGTTCCCTACTTTTACATGGTCACTTATTGTGACAGCATAATCTTGTAATCTTGCTTTTTCCACAAATTTAGATAAGGTCAAGGAATCAGAATGTTCCCCGCTGTGAGCTTTTCGCTCTAAAAATAAGCCAACATTGTCCCTGTAGGGAAACCTGATGCTGCGGCGGAATAATGGCTCTTCAATTCCCAGTAGCTCCCGTATGTGCTGAGAAATTACCTGAAATGCAAGGATAACTTTTAAATAAAATGAATCTGAAAAATACAACTAAATCAAAGTTACACCCAGTTTCCTAGACCCTAGAAATGCTAACTTTTAAGTTCTGAAGGAGGGGAGGTTGGTGGTGGAGGAGGAATAAGTAGCATCTAAATGTTTACAAGCCTGATCTCACCAAAATGTAGCTCTGAAATGAAACATCATGATTTGTTATTTTTTTTTTTAAATAGGGACCATTCAGGGGTATGGTGCCGCCAGCAGGTCAATCTGTACCTGTGAGGCAAGTGCATCAGCAGCCTCATGGCGCCTTCAGACTTCCAGATACCCCAAAATTGCTGCTGTGCCTTTGGCCAGACTTCAAAACCTTGGGGCAAAGTTTACCAAGAAAGCAAACGGCCAAAAGTTAGGTATGTGGGGGACATATCCACAAACCACCTCTGGCTCAGCTATATAACTGGAGGCATGGCCTCTCTGGTTCTTGATTGAACTGCTTAATGGCCATGATCCCGGAGTCTGAGAAACAAATCTCGAAACCCAACAGCTTATGGCAGAAATGCGTCTGGACCGCGCAGTAGGTTACTGTCGCCTGGCCACCCCAGGGGGGAAAGGGTGCTGTCCCTCTGCCTGCTCCCCCTTGGCGGCCTGGTGGCCACCATCTTCCAGAGGCCATCGGACAGTGAGGTTTAGATCCGCAGTAAGGAGACACATGGGGCCTCACGGGATGGGGGTGGAGCCGGCCCTTTCCTCCCCACACCAACAAGACCACAAGTCGCTGCCCATGAACGGCCTCTCTGGCTCCTGATCAAGCTGCTTAATGGCCATGATCCCAGAGACTCAGGAACAGATCTCGGAACCTAGCAGGTTTTGGCAGGAAATCTCTCCAGATTTGTTAAAATTTTGGAATTTCAAAATTGCGAACCACTACTGCAACCGCGCGACATCATATATTATTTATGACCAGCAATAGAAAACAAATTGTCTACTGTTGCCTTTTCGGCAGATCTGAGTGTTGGGGTAAAATCCCAAATAATGGTGGGTGCAGTGTCGAAATGTTGAAAGTGATCAAAGTATAGACAGAGTGATTTGGAAATCATCTGCCCCACAGATAGGGGGAGAGTGTGGGATGTGGGTATACTGGGGCTTTTGGTGGTGAAGAATGGGCACTGGTGAAGGTATGGGTGTTTCATTGTATGACCGAGACTTAAACCTGAAAGCTTTGTAACTGCTCTCATGGTGATTCAATAAATAAAATTATTTTAAAAAATGGGGGCTGGAGTGATAGCACAGCGGTAGGGCTTTTGCCTTGCACGCAGCCAACATGGCCGGCCCAAGTTCGATTCCTCCGCCCCTCTCCGAGAGCCCGGCAAGCTACCGAGAGTATCTCGCCCACACAGCAGAGCCTGACAAGCTACCCGTGATGTATTCGATATGCCAAACACAGTAACAACAAGTCTCATGATGGAGACGTTACTGGGCCCACTCGAGCAAATCGATGAACAATGGGAGGACCATGACTGTGATAAAAAAAAAATGGGAAAAATAAAAAGTAAGATGGAGTTCATGCAAAAATCAATCAGCCTAATCAGTAGCTAAATAAATAGCAGTACTCCTATTAAAAAAAATAGGTGATGCTATTGCTGGTGGTGTTTGGGGGGTCCATGTGGTCCCAGGGAATGAACTCAGGGTATTGCATATGTGAGTACGAGCTCTACAACCTGAGTAATATTACTCACTTGTATTACCTTTTCTAAAGTACCATTTAAGATGTTTATGTTGCAGTCCAGTACACAGGCAGGTATGTGTGTGGTGGGGGAGCCGGGGCAGGGGGCTTAGAGAGAGAACTGGAAATGTGGATTCAAGAACTCCTCCAAGAGAACCAGAGTAGTAATTCAGTGACTAGGATATTTGCCCTGCATGTGGCCAAACTGGGTTTAATCTCTGGCATCGAACCTATGGTTTCCCAAGTCAGCCATGAGTAAGGCCTCAGCATAACCATGTGTGACCCCAGAACAAACAAACAAGAATTACCCCAGAAGCTGGAGCAATCTGTACAGCAGGCAGGGCACTTGCTTGCACAGAGCTGACCTGAGTTCAATTCACGCCACCCCATATCGTTCCCCACCAGAGAGATTGTTGAGCAGAGTCAAAAGTAAGCCCAGAACATTGCCAGGTGTGGCCCCAAAACAAAAATCAAAAAAGAAGATACTCCAGCACCAGCCTAAAGTCATGAAGGCTGGAAACCCACTGAGACAGAGGAGAAATTCCAGCAGAAACAAAAGATTGTGAGAATGTGAAAGACCACGCCAAAAGGTTCAAGCTCTTGCCTTCAACAACACCCTAGAAACAGATTATTTCTGTAGTAAGCGCCAAGTGGGGGCAGTTTGTCAAGCCCTATTAAACCTTGCAAGGTAAGCAGTACATTTCCCACTGGGGAGAAGGGCAACTGCCTGTATCTCAACTTCTCCATGTGGGATGTGGACTCTCCCCTCTGGAGAACCCCCACCCCCTTCTTTCTTCCTTGCTTTTCATATTTCCTGAATAACAATATTTTACTTTACTGTTCATCTCCTCCCAGGAACTGGTTTCTGTGCAGACAATGATCTGGAAAACTGGGTGGAGGTCAGGACTGCCTTTCTTTTCTTAAAATAGAGTGCAATTCCTATTCTAAAAAAAAATAATAATTTTTAGGGGCTGGAGCGATAGCATAGCAGGTAGGGTGTTTGCCTTGCATGTGGCTGACCCGGGTTTGATTCCCAGCATCCCATATGGTCCCCTGAGCACCGCCAGGAGTAATTTCTGAGTGCAAAGTCAGGAGTAACCCCTGTGCACTGCTGGATGTGACCCAAAAAGAAGAAAATAATAATTTTTAAAATTTTTATTTATTTTTGAATACGTCATGGGTAGCTTGCCAGGCTCTGCCGTGTGGGCGAGATACTCTCGGTAGCTTGCCAGGCTCTCCGAGAGGGGTGGAGGAATCGAACTCGGGTCAGCCATATTGGCTGCGCACAAGGCAAACGCCCTACCGCTGTGCATATTCCAACACCAATCCCACCACTATTACACCTTCCCTCTACCATTATTTCTAATTTTCCCACAACCAAGCCTGTCCCAAAGGCAGATCTGAAATGATTTATTTTATATTGCTTGTTATGAATAATCCGCTAAAAATGATCCAAAAAAGTTTCCTTAGAGAAAAGTGTGTGAAGATTGTTGTATCTCACCCTGGAGAGATTAAGCTCAGAGAACAATTCTTGATCAGGCCATGGCACCTGGAAATTTTGGTGGTAGGTCACCCACAATTTTGTCTTTTTGTGTGTGTGTGTGTGTGTGTGCTTTTTGGGTCACACCCGGCAATGCACAGGGGTCACTCCTGGCTCTGCACTCAGGAATTATCCCTGGCAGTGCTCAGGGGACCCTATGGGATGCTGGGAATCGAACCTGGGTCGGCCGCATGCAAGGCAAATGCCCTACCCACTGTGCTATCACTCCAGCCCCTCACCCACAATTTTGGGACAGCCAGAAGTTAGGTGACCTGCTATGCTTCGCAATCTACCCAGGAGGTCTGCCTTTGAGGAGCCATTTTACCCACCTACAACATTTCTTTTCTGGAGGCAGGGGGTCCACACACACTGGTGCTCAAGGCCTACTCATAGATCTGTGCTCATGGATCACTTCTGGCAGGCTCAGGGACTCTATGGGGGCCTGGGGATGAAATTTGGATCAGTTATGTGCAAGGCAAGAGCCCTACCTGATGTACTATAGCTCTGGCTACAATATATATTTTTGCTTTCTGGGTCATACCCAGCAATGCTCAGGGGTTACTCCTGGCTCTGCACTCAGGAATCACTCCTGGCGGTGCTCGGGGGATCATATAGGATGCCAGGGAATTGAACTCGGGTTGGCTGCGTGCAAGACAAACACCCTACCCACTGTACTATTGCTCTGGCCCCCTGGCTACAATATTATTAAAGGGACCAGGGAGATGGCTCAGAGATGGAGGCTGGGTTCAAGCCCCAGTACCATGTGGTCCTCTGAGCACTTCTGGGTATGGCTCCAGCTCTCCAAAGTGTGTGAAGATTGTCGTATCTTAACTGAAGAGTAAAAAATAACCCACTCTAAAGGTATCCTTAGGCACTTGCACAGATGGCCATGGACTGCTTCATTTCTTCCGGCTAAGAAATCTGACTTATGTATGAGTAGAGAATATCTGAAGCCACTTTCAGATTAGGCTTCTTTTTTTTTTGGGTAGACAAATTACTTGTCTGCATTTTTATAATCAAATATCTTGTCTAGAAAGGCTTCCGTTAATTTGTGACAAGAAAAATACATTATTTAAATGGTGATTAAATTTGGCTGAACAAAATTAAATCTGCAACACAAGAAACAAGAAAACTAAAAACCATTAAAGTTCCAATTATTTTTCTCAGCATGTACATTTATATGTTCTTCTAAAATATTTTGAAATTGATTTGGGGATATGTGTGTGCAGTAACATATACTAAAAACATTAAAATCCATATATTATAAATACTGTAGCACTGTCCTCCCATTGTTCATCGATTTGCTCAAGCGGGCACCAGTAACATCTTCATTGTGAAACTTGTTACTGTTTTTGGCATATTGAATACGCCACAGGGAGCTTTCCAGGCTCTGCCATGTAGGCAGAATACTCTCAGTAGCTTGCCGGCTCTCTGAGAGGGACGAAGGAATCGAACCCAGGTTGGTCGCATGCAAGGTAAACACCCTACCCCCTGTGCTATTGCTACCTGTGGTGTATTCGATATGCCAAAAACAGTAACAACAAGTCTCACAATGAAGGCATTACTGGTGCCTGTTTGAGAAAAATCGATGAATAACGGGAGGACAGTGCTAGAGTGCTACATATTATAAACAATATTTCAATATAATTTTTAAATTACTACAAATTTCAGTTTCTAAACCTAAGTTAGGGGCCGGAGAGATAGTACAGCAGATAGGGAAGTTACCCTGCACATGGCCAACTT